CCACACGAGCGGATGTATTGTGGCACAATGAAATGCGTGAAATACGCGGAATCACAGCGGCCGGAATAATATCAGCGGTGTGGCACCACGGAATGTGTGAGAGGGTGATGCATGATGAATCACAGTGGGCGACATGCGAGGGAAGTGCACCGCGACGGAGCGTCGCCCCGCCCTCAGCCTGCAGGGGAATGTACACCCACAAAATATATGGTCGAGACACCACCAAACACACATGCCCTTCCATGCACCAATAAATAGGAGCGAAGGTGCGTTCTGGTGCGTGGGAGTCCACTCACATATTTTCATTTCCACCGCAATCAACGGTGAGGAGCCAGGTGCCACAGCAACGAAAACGAACATCTATTGCAGCACTTTACCAGCGAGAAGCAGGAACGACATAAACCGAATTATTGGCTGCACCACCATAGGAAACATTCACAAGAGGAAAAAAAATTTAATTGTGCACCCTGCAGCAATTCCCAACACACGATCCAGGCATGAAGGTTTGCTCTCTGAAAAAATGAAAAAAAGCATGAAAACATCTGCCAACATCCAAACAGAAACACAAATAAATGTTTGCTTGCTTTATGCCATTCACTGCGCTTATTTTTGCGCGTGCGGCCGCTGCGGTGGTGGCCGGCCTGCATGAAGTGGTCTGCGATGAATATGAACAAAGGCCGAAGTCAACTGAAATGTTTTTGTGGTGAATATTGGCTGCACTTCCCGTGGACCAACAATCCACGTGGTGTGTGGGGATCTCTTATTGTATTGTTACTTTGCTTTTGTGTTGCTGTGTGCGCTACACCTTCTTGTGTGTGTGCGTACCCTCCGTGAGGGGCGTCGACGCGACGGACCGCTCTCGCCGCATGTACATGCGGTGGAGCATTGTGTGCCGCTCCTGTTTTCTTCTCCCCCCTTCCATCTGTGTGTTGGTGTTGCGGCAGGGCTGTGTGTGTGTGCCTGCTGCCGTGGATTGGAGTGTGTGTCGTGCGTGGTGTGCGGCGTACGGTGCATGCCAGGCTGCTGTCCTCTCCTCATGTGGTTTGTCCTCTGTGTGTGTCTGCCGCACCTCTCGTCTCCCCTGTTGCTCTCCATGTCCCTCACTGTGCAGATCAGCTCCACACCACTGGACGACCACACTCACGATTATGATGACGTGCCGTCTGCTGTGCGCCCTGTTGGTGCTCGCCCTGTGCTGCTGCCCGTCCGTGCGCGGGACAGCAAGTGGTGAGGCTCAAGTTTCAACCCCCGGTCATCTACCCCCACTGCCACAGGAGCAAACTCCGGAGACCAATTCTTCAGTTTCAAATGCCCCTACAGTCCCGGAGGCGGATACTTCCGATAATCCCGATCAGTCGGTGGTAAAGAGTCCGGCACAGGAAACAGGAGAGTCAAAAAGTAGTAGAGAGGTTACGGTAAAGACGAAAACTACGACGACTACGACAACAACTACAACTACAAGTGCGCCAACTACGACCACTACAACAAAGGCACCAAGTACTACGACTACAGAGACGCCAACCACGACGACCACCCGCGCACCGTCACGTCTCCGCGAAATCGACGGCAGCCTCAGCAGCTCGGCGTGGGTGTGTGCCCCGCTGGTGCTCGCCGCATCCGCGCTGGCGTGCACCACTCTGGGCTGAAGAGGTGTGTGCGGGCCGTGCGTGCCAGCACTCAACCGCGGGGACATGTGCGCGTCCACTGTGGTCCGATGTAAATAAATAGGGGAAAATAATAATTGCGTTTTGCTTCATTTGCTTCCGCTGCCCCGCTGCTGCGTGCTGGTGTATGCGCACTGGAGTCATTCGTTGCAGCTCTTTTTTTAGTGCTTTTACCTTTTTACTTTGTTGCTGCTTCTTTACTCGTGGCTTGTTTTCAATTGGTTTGCTCTCTTGCTGATTATTTGCTGCGGGGCTGTGTTTTGGGTTATTCCCTTTCACTGATTCCAACTGTTTCGTGTTGTGGGGACTGCTCCTGGGCTGTTGCCGTTTTTCTCTGTGCGTGGTTGAATAACTTTTCTCTCCTTTTGCTTTCACTCTGCGTTGACGGGGAGTTATTTTGTGCTGAAGGCTGCACGCAAGTGACAGGAGTGATGGCGATGATGACTGGCCGTGTGCTGCTGGTGTGTGCCCTCTACGTGCTGTGGTGCGGTGCCGGTGGTGTCGGTGCTGAAGGACAAGAGGCCGGTACCCTTTCGCCACCTCCTGGGCCTGTGTATGATGATCAGGGAGGCGTCTTGAGTGGAATTGGCCGTATGAAGCCTTCTGATACTGATGGACAGGTGACTGTTGATGGTGTGAGGGATCGAGCGGAATCTAAACACCTTTCGAGCCGTTTCCCTTTGGTTGATGCGAAGGATGTAACTCCAGATGGTATTGGCGGGGAGGGGAATGGTGCTGTGGATGAAGTCGCTCCAGAAGAAAATGAGTCGCTTCAGAATAGCTGCGATGAGGATGGAGAAAGGTCAGAGGGTTGCGTTCAAGTGCAAGGGGGTGATGGCTTCCCGGGGAATGAAGGCGGCCATGTGGATCGCGGGAGGCAGCAAGATGATCGAAACCCGCTGCCGCCTTTGTCAGACCAGACATCCTCAGAGGAAATAAACTCACCGTTACCGGCTGAGAGAAACCCACATAATCAACGGCCGGTGTCACGCCAAGCACCAGTGGTGGTGGAAAAGCAAACGGATCCAGTCAGCATTCGACCCCAGAAAGAAGCAGCTACACTCGAATCAGAGGCCGTGCGGAATGCTGCCAACAGCCACAGTCAAGAGAGTGCCGCGGAGTTGACCAACGGTACTCTGCCAGCTCATGCAAGAGTGACGGAAGCAGAAGACCGATCCAAAAATGTTTTTGATACTCACAAGGACGCTGCGGAAAAACAAAAAAAGCCCGCCCACACCACTGGGAAAAGTGAATCACCAGCAGCGTCTGGCGATGCGCACAAAGCTACCGCATCAACTGCGGCAGTGGATAATGAGGCTGCCATCAAAAAGGCAAAGAGTCCTGGTGGCGCAAGCAGCCCTATAAGCATAAGCGACAACTCAAACAATGACACCGAACAGAACAATGCGAGAGACACAAGTGAAGAAGCGTCACACAGCACGGAGAATGCGACCACTCACAGTGCAGGAATCCCGAGAGCACCACATACCACAGCCAAAACAGATGATACGACGACGCAAGAAGACAGCAACAGTGACGGCGGCACCGTCAAAATGGGTGAGGCAGCACCGCAAACAGCAGGGACTGCTCAGGCAAATGATACGGCGACGCATGACGAAAGTGACAGCAGCACCGCGGTCTCCCACACCACCTCCCCTCTTTTTCTTCTTCTTCTTGTTGCGTGTGCGGCTGCTGCTGCTGCGGTGGCCGCGTGAGAGTGAGGGAGAGAGAGCCGTGCACCGCCCGCACACACACTCTTCCTTCTCTCTGTGTGTGTGTCCCCTTGCATGGACTCTCGCCCTCACCTCACCCCACGAAGCACACACATAATGTGCCCATTGTATATATGCATGCACACCCATGCAGGCCCGTTGGTGCTCTCTTTTGCACGACACGCACCGCTGCCGTCCTGCCTGGCTGCATGGGCGGAGCACCGTAACTGTTTCTGTTTTTATTGCATTGAGTGGGCGACCTCTCTCTCTCTCCCTCTGTGTGTGTGTTTTGCTTTACGGGAGTAATGAGAGTGTGTGTGCGCTGGTCGTCCCACGCTACGGCTTTTTGTTTTGTTTTCCTTTTTGATTTTGTGGTTGAGTGCACCCATTCCACTTTTTTTTGATTGGCGGCATGCTTTGACGGTTGACACTTTAATCTTACTTTGTTATTCCCATATCGTTTTTTTTTGTTTTGAAGTGTCAGCCTCTTTTGTCCTTTTCATGCCACTAAGCTTTTCCTTCGACATACACCATGCGTCAGTTGGCCCACGTTAACCCGTGGCTTGCAGCGCTGCTGGTGCTGGTGATGTTTGTGGTGCGACTTTCCAGGGGAAGCGTTGCTGTCATCCTGACGCATCCCTGCTTTTCTTGACGATGTGGTGCGTACCGACGGCGCGTGGGCGACTCCGGTTGTGGTGAGGGACGTCTCTTTCACAGCGCAAGATACGTCGCGGGTGTGCAGCGTTGTTTGGAAGAAACAATGGGCGCTTGCCCGCATCAAGGCGTCAACAAGGATCCCTGATGACAGCAGGAGGCGCTGCGGCATCTCCCGGCCCCGGCGATGACGTTGCACCTTGTCGCGGTGCTGGGCTCTGGCTGCGTATAATATCTCCATAGCAGGGCGTTGCTGCGAGCACGACGGAGACCAAGACGACTCCACCCCTCGAGAAGGTTCCACGCCATGCCCGGTGTGGGGAGGTGAGGCGGTCTGCCTGCAGACTGTCGGGCAAAACTGCACGACCGTTTCGCGGCGGTCACCCCGTTGATTTCCCCCGTTGCGGTGACGTCCACACGAACCCTGGCCCGAGGAGGATGGCTACATTAATATTTGGCAGCTTAACATTGCAGGCCTCTCGTCCGTAAAAAGATTGCATTTGCTGCGCGATTGGAGCAGCGTCCACCTGACATCGTTCTTCAGCAGGAAATAAGTAACCGTGGTGACGTGGCGACGAAATTATCTGGCTATAATGACTACCTTCAGACCTCACTGGGCGCGGTGGTGGCGTTGCCATTCAGGTGCGCCACTCTCTACCGTGCGAGCGCCTGTCGCTCCCTGGCACTGACCTCCTGGAGACCATTGCTGTCCGTGTATTTCCGCCGGGCTGTTCCAGCAATTGCGTGGTGAATCCCCACAACCCTCCCACAGCAATTGGTCAATAATCCGCATTTATCAATATCGTTTGTCGCTTGTGCCCGAAGAGATTATCGCGGGTGACCTGAATTTACATCGTGAACTCTGGGACAGTCATATATACCATCAACGACTGGAGGCGATAATTTCGCCGCTGTTCCAATTGACATGGATTTTGGGCTGGCAAATTACCCGACGCAGGTAACACGGATCACACATCGTAATGCCTCGTCCCCTGACGTGACTGCGTATTGCGCCCTACGCATTTCCCACTGGACATTCGCCCCTTACATGGACTCGGACCGCTGCTTAATATCTTACTAGGTAGAGATGGACGACGGCACTCCACGACTAGCAAACACGCTGCCTTGACGGAAGAAAGCCACCTTTGCCCTGCGCAAAGCGGATTGCCCTGCTTTGGCCTCGTTGTGTGAAACCCTCCTTGCCACCGCGTCCACATGTCTGGACATTCGCAGTGGTATCTTACGAGCAGCTGAGCGCCATATCCCGCGCGGCAGCCGCGACAGCCCAAAACAATCTGGACGAAAGAAATGGAACAGGCCGAGTCCGCCGCAGAAGCAGCACACACATCGCCTCGCCAGAAGACAGCCTGCTTCGAGCCGAATGTACCCGAAAAAGGGAGGAACGAAATCAAGCCTTACGCCGTGGCTTCGCTATGCTTCTGGAAGCCCGTGTGGAAAAAATTGGGGCCTCACCCAGCCCAAGCTGGCGATATCTCCGCGGTGTGGCGGCGCCGCACCCTCATCCCCTGGAATCAGTGGTGCACCGAACTGATCTTCGGACCGCGTCTGTGCTCCGCCTCGGCAACAGACAAATCTGCTCGTCCATCATTTTGTGCGGTTTCACGTGCCACGTTACCTTATACTGCTGCTGCTGCTGCTCCCTTGCCTCTTGGTGACTGGGAAATGGATCGGCCTCTCACGCCGTATGAATTTGACGTGGCCATCCGCGACTTTTCGCTTGGCTCAGCCCCTGGCCCCGACGACATGTTGAATGAGTTCCCGCACCATCTCGGGCCCGTTGCGCATGGCACACTTAGAACGATGATCCACAACTCCTTCGAAAATGGCAGCCTGCCTGGCTCCTGGAATACGGTGGACACCATTCCCATTCCCCAACCTGGGAAGGGCCCATACCGCCCAGTGAGTTACGGACCTACCACGCTGCTCTCTTTTTCACTAAACCGAAAGAATGATTCACCGCCGTCTATCAGCGACATTGCCGCACCGCCCACGTCAATTCGGGTTCACACCTTCGCGTTCTACATCGGACTTGGTGACACTTGTTATTGGTAAAATTGCCCGTGGATTGAGTGAGTTCAGTACTGTGGAGTATGAGAGCCCTGGAGACGGCGCCCCACACGGCACTTTCGTCGCCATCGCTCGCTCGTAGTTTTGATTGATTTTCCGACTGCGTTCGACACCACTGACCATGGGAATTTATTCTGCATGCTTGACAGACTTCCGCGCCTTGGCCCCGAACCAAACGCTGGCTGCATAACTACCTGCGGGGCCGCTATGTTAGGGTATGCACTCGCGAACAGCACTCCCGGAAACAACTCGCCTCAACTGGAGCACCACAAGGCGGCGTCCCGGGACCCAAACTCTTCCTCCACTGTGTGGATGATCGGCCGCACCGCCTGGAGAACATCTATTCTGCCTCCGCACTCATGTACACTGACAACCTCACACTTGTTGCCTCAGGTGCGGACATCCATGCCTGTGCTGCGGCAATGCGACCTGCCTTTTCACTTATAACGACATGGGCTGCCGAGCACAACCTCAAAATCAACGTTACTAAGAGCGAAGCTGCTCTATTCCAAATCTCTACACACATACGGTCTGGAGAGGACATGGTCGATCTCCTTCCTGGCAATGGGAACCTACGTATTCAGTCACGTCCAGTGCGCTTGCTGGACACCACGGTTGAACAACTCCTTAATTTTCGTACGCACGCTTCCACCGCTGCAAAGCAGACCACGCCACGCCGTTACCAATTACGGCCGGTCGCACAGGCTGGTGCGTTCCATCACAATACGCAATCCTTTTCGATTGGATACGGTCATGGTGTGTAACTGTATTCTGGCAAAGCAATTGTCCCATGCCTCGCCTACATCTGCCTCCATAATATGGAAGTACGGTACCGAGACAGTTGTAAAACACACCTTGGCATTAGTGCACCAACGGAAGATACGTCCGTCTAATTGAAAGCCAATCTTCTCCCGCTCCGGAAGATACTCTGGCTCCGCGACACCAATCAACACGAACGCCACGCACGTTTCCATGATCACGAGGATTTGCGCTCCCTTACCCACACGGAACCTATGCCGCTGTCCATGCATAGGAAAGCGGCGACATCAATCCCACTTCCGAGAGATGCCGTTATTAATGGATTAGAACGTGTATGTGGCACTATTGAGATACCACACAACCACAATCACGCTCCTCCTATTACCCAACTTCGAATTATTCCCTGGGACGCCGTGGGCCGCAATAACGTGAGATCTTATCAGCCACCCTTTGCCAAAGATGCCTCTGACGATGTCAAGCGCACGGCTTTTGATTCCCTTTACTCCTCTCTAGAAGATTATAATTTTGAATTATGGACAGACGGTTTTTCATCAATCGCTGAACTCACATCTGGATCCGCTGCACCATTATACAGCTCCACAAAGACAAATGGCTTCCCTGTGGAGGTCCATCGTGCAGCAGCTGGCAGGCTCGCACGCTCATAGGGAGCAGAGTGCCTTGTCACTAAAAATTGGCTTTAGACATCTCATACCTCCTCGTCTGGGAACATCCCAATCGTCCACACAAACCCCGGTGTCAACCGACTCCCTGTCGGTAATTGAGGCACTCCGCGTTGCCCCACTGGCCGTGCGTGAATGCGTTGCTGAAGAGATTTGGGTTATGCTGCTTTCCTTGGTGAAGCGAGTTCACCCTGCACACTTTATATTTTCCCCGTCGCACTGCGGTATCCCACGCAATGAGGCCGCTGACGAAAAAGCCACGACCGCACGATCCCTGCAGGACTGCGTCACTGCCTGGCACGTGGACTTCCTCACCGCCGTCAAGAGGTTATGCTGGGAGGAATTCCAGGAGGAAGAAGAAGTCGCACACACCGGACGTCAAGCGCTCGTCGGTGTAAAAAAAAAAACATTCCTGGTGTCCAGGCAGGCATCGGGCATCGAATCACGACTTCGCGCGCAGATACAATGCGACTCCTGCCCACTCCTCGGCAGACTGGCACGCGCCCTGCGGATCACAAGGAACCCATTGTTTGGTGGTGCTCCTCCTCTCACACTGAAGAGGCAGGACCGCCCCGACCTCCTCCGGAACCTCCACCTGGCGTGTTCACGGCACCTCCTCGTAGAACGACGAGCAGCAGATCAACGTCGCCCCGCCCAAGCTGCAGCAGCGTCTTCTCGTCCGTCCACAATATGAAGGCACACGCCCGACGCACTAACCCTGGCACTCCAATCGTTGCAGAAGGCCTCAAATGTGGATTCTGCGACAGCTCCACGGTCTCCCCAACAGGTGCCTCACGCGCAGGTCAATACCGAAAATGTCAAGCGTATCAACGAGCAAAAAACGGACAACGCACCTCTGCAAGCTCCAATGATAGCTGTAGCCCTTCAGCCACTCCTCTGCTGCAATCACCACCAGCCGCTGAGCCCCCGACAATCCACGGGAAGCCCTACCGCACACGCTGTGGGAATGCCCTCGTCCTCGACAACTGAGCGTCGGACTATTTGGTACACCACCTCTCGCACGACAGCACCGTTCAAGAAGGAAAAACTGTCCATATCGCTACGGACAGCTCGCAGGCCATTAAAGAACAGTGGCAGCAAATTATAACGAAAGAAATACTTCCCTTTTCTCAGCATAGAAAAACGTCACCCTCACACGCGGAATTGCCACCAATGAATTCATTGCTTAATAGCGCTCTGAGCTGCAATACTTCCTGGCATCATCCAGGTCCCTTGTCGACACATCGATGCGGATGGGCGCCCATCCATTCATTCCGATGACGGTGCATGTCTGCGACGCACCCTCTGCTCTAAAAAGGACACGTCCCTCACCACAGCCGGGATCGACTTCGCCCTGTCGGCACGCATCGCCTTGTCCGAGGAGCAGGAGCACGTCAGGCTGGCAGCAAAGCACCCGCCAGCACAACACATCACAAACATCATCACAACCAGAAGCTCCAGCAGCACTGCAGACCGTGGGGCGACGTGAATCAACTGACGCATGCTGTACGTAACAGAAAACATTTGATGGCTTGAAAAGAATAGGAAACACTGACATTATCTCAAAAGAAAAATAAAATAAAATAAAATAAAAATCATGCGTCCGCAGTCAAAGCACGCCAATAATCTAAAAACAAGTAATGGGTGCACTCAACCACAAAATCAAAAAGAAAAACAAAACAAAAAGCCGTAGCGTGGGACGACCAGCGCACACACACTCTCATTACTCCCGTAAAGCAAAACACACACACAGAGGGAGAGAGAGAGAGGTCGCCCACTCAATGCAATAAAAACAAAACAGAAACAGTTACGGTGCTCCGCCCATGCAGCCAGGCAGGACGGCAGCGGTGCGTGTCGTGCAAAAGAGAGCACAAACGGGCCTGCATGGGTGTGCATGCATATATACAATAGGCACATTATTGTGTGTGCTTCGTGGGGTGAGGTGAGGGCGAGAGTCCATGCAAGGGGACACACACACAGAGAGAAGGAAGAGTGTGTGTGCGGGCGGTGCACGGCTCTCTCTCCCTCACTCTCACGCGGCCACCGCCGCAGCCGCAGCCGCACACGCAACAAGAAGAAGAAGAAAAAGAGGGGAGGTGGTGTGGGAGACCGCGGTGCTGCTGTCACTTTCGTCATGCGTCGCCGTATCATTTGCCTGAGCAGTCCCTGCTGTTTGCGGTGCTGCCTCACCCATTTTGACGGTGCCGCCGTCACTGTTGCTGTCTTCTTGCGTCGTCGTATCATCTGTTTTGGCTGTGGTATGTGGTGCTCTCGGGATTCCTGCACTGTGAGTGGTCGCATTCTCCGTGCTGTGTGACGCTTCTTCACTTGTGTCTCTCGCATTGTTCTGTTCGGTGTCATTGTTTGAGTTGTCGCTTATGCTTATAGGGCTGCTTGCGCCACCAGGACTCTTTGCCTTTTTGATGGCAGCCTCATTATCCACTGCCGCAGTTGATGCGGTAGCTTTGTGCGCATCGCCAGACGCTGCTGGTGATTCACTTTTCCCAGTGGTGTGGGCGGGCTTTTTTTGTTTTTCCGCAGCGTCCTTGTGAGTATCAAAAACATTTTTGGATCGGTCTTCTGCTTCCGTCACTCTTGCATGAGCTGGCAGAGTACCGTTGGTCAACTCCGCGGCACTCTCTTGACTGTGGCTGTTGGCAGCATTCCGCACGGCCTCTGATTCGAGTGTAGCTGCTTCTTTCTGGGGTCGAATGCTGACTGGATCCGTTTGCTTTTCCACCACCACTGGTGCTTGGCGTGACACCGGCCGTTGATTATGTGGGTTTCTCTCAGCCGGTAACGGTGAGTTTATTTCCTCTGAGGATGTCTGGTCTGACAAAGGCGGCAGCGGGTTTCGATCATCTTGCTGCCTCCCGCGATCCACATGGCCGCCTTCATTCCCCGGGAAGCCATCACCCCCTTGCACTTGAACGCAACCCTCTGACCTTTCTCCATCCTCATCGCAGCTATTCTGAAGCGACTCATTTTCTTCTGGAGCGACTTCATCCACAGCACCATTCCCCTCCCCGCCAATACCATCTGGAGTTACATCCTTCGCATCAACCAAAGGGAAACGGCTCGAAAGGTGTTTAGATTCCGCTCGATCCCTCACACCATCAACAGTCACCTGTCCATCAGTATCAGAAGGCTTCATACGGCCAATTCCACTCAAGACGCCTCCCTGATCATCATACACAGGCCCAGGAGGTGGCGAAAGGGTACCGGCCTCTTGTCCTTCAGCACCGACACCACCGGCACCGCACCACAGCACGTAGAGGGCACACACCAGCAGCACACGGCCAGTCATCATCGCCATCACTCCTGTCACTTGCGTGCAGCCTTCAGCACAAAATAACTCCCCGTCAACGCAGAGTGAAAGCAAAAGGAGAGAAAAGTTATTCAACCACGCACAGAGAAAAACGGCAACAGCCCAGGAGCAGTCCCCACAACACGAAACAGTTGGAATCAGTGAAAGGGAATAACCCAAAACACAGCCCCGCAGCAAATAATCAGCAAGAGAGCAAACCAATTGAAAACAAGCCACGAGTAAAGAAGCAGCAACAAAGTAAAAAGGTAAAAGCACTAAAAAAAGAGCTGCAACGAATGACTCCAGTGCGCATACACCAGCACGCAGCAGCGGGGCAGCGGAAGCAAATGAAGCAAAACGCAATTATTATTTTCCCCTATTTATTTACATCGGACCACAGTGGACGCGCACATGTCCCCGCGGTTGAGTGCTGGCACGCACGGCCCGCACACACCTCTTCAGCCCAGAGTGGTGCACGCCAGCGCGGATGCGGCGAGCACCAGCGGGGCACACACCCACGCCGAGCTGCTGAGGCTGCCGTCGATTTCGCGGAGACGTGACGGTGCGCGGGTGGTCGTCGTGGTTGGCGTCTCTGTAGTCGTAGTACTTGGTGCCTTTGTTGTA